CGCAATTCTTTTCTTTCTTTTGCTGATTTGCGCACTTTTCGCCAATAAAAAGTGCCAGAGTTGCCAAAGCTCAGCAAAACAAATTTGAAATTTTTGGTGTTTCCAAAACAGCTGTCTCCCAAACAATTCAGAATAATGGAGTTCTATTCGAGGGAATAGCGAGGGAAGAAGGAGACTTATCCAATGAGAGTATTCAGAATAGGGGTGAATAAAAAGAGAAAACTTCATAGAGTACATTTGGGGTAATTACTTTGCACCTTCGTCCAACCCAACAGGTAACTGAGTTAGCGCTATTATCCAACGTCTATATCGAATAGACTTTGGCAGAATTTTTTCACACACATATTCACATTTCCACCTGAAAAATTATTGTACTTGACCCAAAACAGCGTTCAGTTTTTGGAATTACTGGATTGTGGGCTATGGAATATGGTTAAATTAAAGCGTAGAGCTTTGTATGGATGGGTCATGTTTTTAGAATGAAAGGCAACCATATGCAGAAAATGATGTTAGTCTATACGGCATTGGCTGCAGAAAATGGAAGAAATATGCTATATTAAAATTGATAAAAATCTATAATTAACTATTAACAGTTAATAAACTGTATTAACAATGACGTGGGAGATATTCAATTGAGAAACTTCAGAACTATGGTGAGAAATAGCGAAAAAGAAGGATAAAATGTGAAGGAAGATTAAGGTAGATGGTTGTAGGGTTAAAAGGAAATGCTGATGAACTCTTCAAGAAGTTTGTCATCATTATATGTATGTGTCAGTTTTCAGTCTTCTTAATATAAGCGTGTGACATTGATTTGATTAAATCTAGAGCTGGCAGGTCTTTTTTTTTAGAAGAAATGTAAATGTTACTCATTTTAAGATTGTTGTAAGTTGTGTGTTAAATAGCCTCAGTAGTTTTATTATGCAAAAACATTTACACAGGACATTTTTCCACATAGCAACCTAAATTCGATCTACGTAGGTGTATGATAAGTGGATGTAGAACCGCGTTTAAACGATTCGTTAAAGTTTCATGCGACATCGAACAGAGTCCACATGTACTCTCTAAGGGTTTGTATAATTAGTCATTACATCTATGGTATAAAGTATCTTGCGTTTCAAAGATTTAAGGATGTGTTTCTATAGCTTTCGATTGCATGTTTTACAATATTATCCAAATTACCTGATTAGTAAGAAATTTATTTTTATGGTATTTATTAATTCTTTTGTTTTGGTAAGTGTGTGTATGCACAAGTATACATATATGTTATTAAAATTTCGTTACTTGAGCAACAGTTAGAAATGGAATTTCGTACATGAATGCCTGTTGCTTACTTTTATGTAAAAACACCAGTGAATATGTGCTTTTGCAGAAAATAAAGCAACCAGCGGAGTGGGACGTACACACTCACCTACTATATCTACGAATAAAAATTATATTTTCATTGTATGTTCTTATGTTTCGGAAAGGAACCTTTTATATTTGTTGTATACGGTATAAGTATAAATATGACTTTAATTGACTGACATATCCAATGACATTAAAAAAGTGTTATGGAAACTGTTATTTAATATTTAATCGTTATTTGGCAACAGTGAGTTTTCTTCAAAGTAGGAATTTAAATCAATGTCTTTAAAACTGACAATACTTATTCCATATGCATATGTGAACCATTAATCATTTTTAGGGATTAATAGTCCCAGTGAGAGAATTTAGCAATTACCGAAAAGCTACTGAAATGCGGAAAAGAGTATCATAAGATCATAAAATAATGTAGTACTTACAACATGTACATAATGAAGATAATGCTATTACACAAAGCAAACAATATTTAACAAGTTGAATATGTTTTTTACTTAAACTTACTTTATACTGCTAAATGAGTTGTGCTTAGTTAAAGATTATATTTATTTAATTGTTGAAGTAATCTGAATTATCTTCTTCTACTTTCGGCAACTTACCAATAACAAATGGAAAGCACTTAAGTCATGTGCAAATTCCAGGATACCACCTATAATAAAAATAGATTCTCGGAACTCATCAAAAGAGACCGCGTGAACACTGGCAGGTTTACAGTGATTCTTTCTAGTCATTGGTGTATAGGAAGCCACGTAGAGAAACTGAGCATTCCTCATAATCCTCACTGTAGAAGTTGTGGAAACCCGCAGGGAAAAGAAATCATAATAAATTTTCCCTGCGTATGGCTGGCTTTGGCGTCCAGAAGAAATTGGTTTTTAGGAAGATACTTCTTTGATAGTTTATCAGACTGGTAATGAAATTATGTATTATGAAATTAAATATTAAAAGTCTTATACACAACCATTTATCGAGTGAATATGCTTTCATAAATTGAAAAACTGTGCGTGAGGAGTTAAGTACACCTAATCGTTCACCACATCAGTGAAACAAACCAATGATCATCAGTTTCAATCACTTCCAGTAAATTGGAAAATTCGAACAGAGTGGAATTAGTTGGTGGGCTGTTATAAATTTTTTTAATTTGAACTAAGCGTTTATATTTATAATACATGTATTTCCATATTTATATAAAATTTTTCGTTAAAAAAATATACACATATCAAGAAATAGATCTATATTAATTTTAAATAATAAAGAAATGAATATATGTATAATAAATACCTCATCATTTCTAAAAATTTTTCTGTACATTTGTTGGTTTTATCTGACTGAATTTACAAAAAGTCTCTTAAATATGTTTTATTTCCTTAGCTTAAGATCTGAGGGACACATTTGCGGACAAGCGCCAGTTGATCGCTATACGTTTGAAGAGCGTAATGAGAATCTTCATTTTCATCATCGTCAAAGAAAAAAAAAATTACCATACTTAATTTGTTTAAATCACTTAACTGCTAATTGTTAATTTAGTACTAACAGAAAAAATGAAGTCAACTTTTTTAAAGCAGAATATCAGAAATTTCTTCTTCTTATTTGGCACTACAGTCCAGTGTGAATCAATTCAGAACTTCGAGTTTTCTGACGTCCTCGTACACGTTTTCCTTTCATCTCAATGTTGCTCCATACTGCCGTTAATAGTTGAACTTCACATTCGACTTCATCATTCACATTCGACTTCTTTACTATCATAAACTGTCATCATAAATTTAATTAAATCGTCTTCATTCAAAGGGCTTGCTATTCTTGCTGCCTAATACTACACCTCGCTGAGTCAGCTACTCGATTAGGATATTATAACGACAATTAAAATGTAGCGTTTAAATATATTTCGCTTATATATATCGCTTTTAGTTAAAAGAAGTACCAAAAAAAGGAACAAAAGTAAACTTTGTCGGTATACTTTAAAAAAAAAAAAGTAGATTGTTAGTTACAATTGTTTTGTTTATTTATATTATTTTCTTGTAGATTTGTGTTCTTTATACATATGGTTACATAGGAATAAGGTGAGGTGTTATATTTTGATGTTGATACGAGGGCGATTCCACAAGTCAGCGACTTATCAGCCGAAATTTTTTTCCGCAAATAAACATTGCGGAAAACATTTTCTACATAATCACCTTTTAGCTCGATACATTTAGTCCAGCGTCTTTCTAACACTTTGTTCAAAAAACATTTTTTTACCAAAATTCGTTTTTATTCATCAACATAGTCCCCTTTTAGGGAGATACAATCATTCCAACGCTTTTGCCATCGTTTTCATCGACTTGTCACACTTTCCGTTTAGGATTCTTAAATTAAATCCATTTTTAATCGCCAGTAACAATCCGATGCAAAACCGATTTTCTTTCGTGTATTTGAAGCAAAATTTCACAAGTGTTTTTTCGGTTTTCCATCTGTCTTTCATTCAATTCATGTGGCACCCATTTTCCACACTTTTGGATCTTTCCCATAGCTTTTAAACGGTCAGAAATTGTTTGTTGTGCAACATTTAACATTTCTGTCATTTGCTTTTGACCCAAAGTGTCATCCCCATCCAATATCGTTTGCAATTCGGCGTCTTCAAACTTTTTTGGCGGTCTTCCACGTTCTTCATTTCTCACATCAAAATCATTATTTCTGAACCGTTGAAACCATCTTTTGCACTTTTGCATGTTGCTTCTGATAGAGCATGATCACCATATGCCTCGACAAGCATTCGATGCGACTCTGCACTACTTTTGAAAACAAAAAATTAATGCTTTCCGCAAATCATCACTTTCTGGTACAAAATTCGACATTTTTAACACGATGAAAAAATATGATGTTGTCTGTTCAATGACTTGATGTATACTAAATATATTTCACACATGTAATAGCAAACAAACAAAAAGAAATAAAGGCTCGTTCACAACAAATGTTCCCTGTATCTTTACGCTCGCTTCATACCGGTACACCTGGTATTATGGTGTGTACACTGCCTGCTGATATCTGTAGAATGTCAGTAATCTCCCTCAGTTTCACTTTACGGTCGGACATAATGATTTTCAGTGTTTTTTCAACGTTTTTCGGAATAACAGCGTCATTTGGCCGTCCAGTAGATGGAATGTCATCGGTGTCTGTACGACCACGTTTGAATTCGGCATACCAATAACAAATGCTTCTTTTTGATGGAGCAGAGTCCGAATAATGTTTTTCAAGCCATTCCTGGCATTGAGCAGTATTTTTTTTCATTAAAAAACAATGATAAATCAGCACACGGAATTGCTTTGAATTCATTTTTTTTTTTTTGAAAACTCAAAAGTAGCGTCACTTAAAGCACTGTAACTTGTAAACAAATGGATTAACATATGATTTTGACAGTAAGCCCGTTAATTTTCTTATTCCCTCCAAATAATAGGTTTTCTCAAAGCTCTCAAAATACGTGTTTGTTTCGGTAATGACTTCTTCATTCGACTCAAACCTTTTACCGCCCAGCCATTTCTTTAGATTTGGAAACAGAAAATAGTCGCAGGGGGCTAAATCTGGAGGATATGCTGCATGGGGTAGCAGTTCGTATCCCTATTCGTGAATTTTGGCCATCGTGACTAGACAAGTGTGCACTTGCACAGTGATGGAACAGCACTTTCTTCTTCGCCAAATGCGGCCGTTTTTGCTTCAAATCAACGTCGAATCTGTTCAAAAGCTTTGAATAATATTCGCCGGTGATTGTTTTACCTTTCTCGAGGTAATCAATGTGAATGACACCGCTTGCATCCCAAAAAACTGTGGCCATGACCTTGTTGGCTGACAGACTATAGCTTGCTCAAAATTAGAAAGTTGCCCACTGACAGATTACAGCTGACGGCTGTAATCTGCATTTGGAGTAACTGCGCGGGAAATTCAAAAAGTCATTGACTTATCAAACCGCCTTCGTATTATCTCAACTATTCAATTTTGTATTGTGTAAAATAGTTTACTGTTTTTTCTCATTCCTCAGCATACACATACAATTACATACTATTTTTTTTTAATTTTATACTGTCAATTTTTTTTTAAATTATTATTTTAAGATTAATGGATAATAAGATTGTAACTTAAATTAGGCGGCTATTTCGGTCCCTTCCGCACCGTTTTGCGCTTCTTCTTTTGATGCTGAGTCATCTAGCTTAGCTTTCTTTTCTGGGGTTGGGACAGTATCATCAACCTTGCCATCAGAATCGGCCACTACCTTTCGCTTGACTGCATCTGCAAAATAAATAAAAATTATTAGAAAAATTTCTACACATAAAAAATTTTGAATATATTATAGAAAACTATTTAAAACAATATTACACGGTGAAAACTTTCTTAAGTAAAATTATCATTTATTCAAGGTATGGGTTTCGCTAAGTTGTTCCAAATGTTAAAAAAAATTGTTCTTAAAAATATTGTATTAAAAAAACCCCGATTTAATATAATAAAAACCTATGTTATATATACAAAAATATAGTGTGCTGATTTAAGCGACATACAAAAATTCAAAAAATTATCCCTAACTTAAAAAAAAAAACAATATAACAAATCATTTCAGGGATCCTGGTTTAACTGTTATCCCGGTGACTGAGCGGATTATCGAAATTAAGAGCTGATTTAAAGTGGTCCATCCATCGCATTAGCTTTTCATTTGGTTTTTTAAATCGACTCTTAACAATCCAATCGGGCTAACAGCACCACAGATACGCATGAAGTGGAAAATCGTGATTATTTTCTTTGGAATTATTGATACATTGCCAACATGAAATGAGGCGAAAATCGTTGCTTCTGTGCGACGTACAGAAATCAACTTTATTGTAGCACCCGTTTGTACAAAGATTCTGGAATGAAGAAACACTGCCCATCTCGCGGAATAAAGGTCTACTTGTAAAAAAAAAGAAAAGAATGATGCTACAGATTGCAATAACTGTTGTGACATCATATTGCTCCCTATATCAAGCTAAATATTTAGTCGCATCATTTTAAGCCGCATTTTTGATGCATTTATAACCGCTCTTCGCGAAAACTAATTTAGGCTTAGGGAGAATCGCTCCTGACCTTATCAACACAGTCAGAATTATTTTAGAACAATGTCATAAATTCCGGACATGCATAAATTTAGCGTTCATAAATTTTATGAAAGTCCTTGATAGAGTTAACAGGTGCTTGTTATGGAAGCTTCTTCAAAAAAAAGGGGATGTCACCGAATCTAATCAAGGCCATGAATATCAACTTCAAATGTCGAATTCTACACTATGGAAAACTGTCAAATCCCTTTGAAGTTACAACTGGCGTCTACAAGCCTTCTGCAATAAATGCCTGCGTCAGATTTTAAACGTATAGTGGCAAATTACTCATGGAATGACATCAGCCATTAATCGCGTAATAGAGTTCGCCGTAAGAGAATGATCGAGGCCCTACGCTCAACTCAATCTTAGCCCATTTCTTTAAGAAATGCCATTAAACAACATAATTAAATACTAAAAAAATTAAAAGACATTAATCCGTCATTTTTTACTGAAATAGACTCTAGTAAATGATATGGCTTCTATAGTAAAGAAATAATATGTACAATACATATACATAATATTTACCGGTTGCTTCACCATTGGCCTCTTTGGCGACACGTTTATTTTCACCATTCTTCTCTGCACTGTCTTCGCCATCAGCTGCTGCGTCGTCATCACCCTTCTCACCGTTCGCAGTATCTGGAGCTTGATCACTGACATCGGCGTCACCGGTGGAATCAGTATTTTCTGTTGCGGCAACAAATTCCTCAGTACTGTTTTCAGAGGATGCATCGACTTCCTCTGCCAATTCTTTACTATCTACATCCTCTGCAGTGATCTTTTCAACTACTGGGGTTTCGCTACAAAGAAAAAGGGAGAAAAATTGGTTTAGATTTAATGTATATTAATATGTTAAGCCATAAAATTATTCATTTTGATACAATTTTATGCGAAAAAAAAATATAAGATAAAGATATATTTATGATGCAAAAATAAAAAGCGATTAAAATTAACTAACAGAGACTAACTAAGTCTTTGATATCGGAATTAAATTTAAAGTTTAAATTTTTTGTGTAAAACTGAAAAAAAAAAACACTAAATAAAATGACTAATTCAGGAAATAAAACGCGTTTTTAATCTAGAAATGAGAATTAATATGTTCTAGAGAAAATATCATTGCTCTAAATAGATTTATGTTGCTCTGATATTATTTATGTCGACTCTTGATTCACACATCAAAAATCGCATATTGAATCAAGAAATGTTTATGTTTAAATTTAGAACTATAATATAACAGTCAAATCAAGTATATAAGCGAAGAGCATTATCTGATAAGAACACATCCTTTTTTTTTTAATATTTATATAAGTTGTAATTTAACGTCATTTTTAAGACGGATGTAACTATTATATTTAATAGAAACTAATATATTTGATAAAGATGTTTTCGAAAAATAGCGAAACTACAACAACAAAAATTCTTTTTAATCTTATTTTAATTAATTAAATTTTTGGCTGACCATACAGCAGTTTCGAGCATCATCAGTGGTCAATGAATTATTTCTTATATCTAATTATTCGTAAATAACTTTTTGAGAAAGCAAGTTCCAGGAATCGAACTCATGTCCTGACAAATTTGAAGCTCAGAGTCAGCGCTCCTTAACCAATTGACCCAAAAAGCCGTACTTGACTTTTATGTTCGCACATTTTTCTGGAGTTTTGTTAATTTGTTGTGAAAGTTTTATTAACAAATTCACTTGCTGTGTGAAAACCTCTTTATTAAATATTTATAAAAATATTGTTTGAAACTGTATTTCTAAAACAAAAAATATACACTAATTGCCCGTATGCAACGTATCTTTTATAGATTTTCACTTGCTGCTTAACCTCACCAACTTTATTTCGTTTTTTTAAATATCGTAAAAACTCTACGACCTGTGCTTTTTAATATAAAATCGTACAAAAATTTAATTTCGACACTTTTAACATTTAGTACTAAAAATGTTTCTTAAATTTTACTTTAATTAAAAAAAAACAAGACAAGTTTTTTAATATTTTCTGAAAAAAATATAATAAGTAATGCAATTGTTTTTATTGAGCTACTGAGAATGCTCTGAGAATTGAGAATGCGGTAGGTGTTCAAGCATTTTAATTCGTTAAATTTTGCCATAGTCAAAGCATTTGCTTGATGAAAAAGGAATTTTTTTTTGGAAGTCAATTTTTCAATTATTTATTTACGTAACTGATCCAAAAAGGTTGCAATAATATTCCGAATTAATTGTTTAGCCTTTTTCAAGAGAATCAATCTATAAAACTCCTTTTATATTCCAGAAAACTGATGCCATAATCTTTTTTGCCGATCTTTCTGATTATTTGTTTTGGAGCTGAACAATCAGCTTCAATCCACTGTAAACAAAGCTTCAGTCTACTGTACCATAAACATTATAAGACGACGAACAAAATCGGTTTCATTCTGCTCAAAACGCTGCAGGATACGAGGAGAATTTTTTTTTCGATTCAGTTTTTGTTGAATTGTAAACGAATGCACGTACAATGCGACCTTCTTTATACGTAATTCTTCCTTTAAAATACAGACTACTCGTTCGCCCGAAATGCTTATGGTATCAGCAATTTCGCGCTTAGTCACTTCCTAAATGATTTGTGGTGTTGTTACACTTTTTGAACGTCCACTACGTGGATCCTCTTCAACGTATGTACGCTTATGTTTAAATTCTAAAACCCACCGATGCACAGTTGGTAATGAACTTTTTTTTGCTGATAAACCCTCTAAAACAAGGAACTTTATCACTGCGTGATATTCAGTTCTTTCCATTGTCACAAAATCACCGACACGTCAACTTCAAATGACTTGTAAAAAAAAAAAGGACCGAATTGATAGATCGAAATAAACACCTGTGTCAACCTTTCGGATGAAAGATTAGGTCAAAAAGGCGTATAACTTTTGATTCTTCTACTGGTTAATAGGTGTCGCTTTCAAAACTTTTCAGCCAATCTGAAAGTGACAAGAAATATGAATTTAACCATGTGACTGGAAAGCTGATTTGCTGAAACACATACATACATAAGTATATGTGTACATTTATATATAATTAATTGTATAAAATAATTATATACAGAATCAGATAATTACTGACATGTGAATGTATGTAATTAATTATATGTATACATTATTGGTACATATAAATGGTATTATCTTTAATAATTTAATATTGCATTTAAATTATAAGCGAAATACAAAAAATATTTGCAATTTTAGATGAAAATAGTACAACCAAATCAAATCAACTTGTTTATAATACTTAGTCGGTCGTATGGATTAAAATTGACATATATAAAAAATGTATCTCAAAACATACATAGTTTTTCAGAATTTCCTTGCACCAAACAACGACTTCTTTAGAGCGATTGTCAAAGTATGGAGAAAGCATAACGATTAAATCTTTCTGCAAGCTAAATGTATATGTTAAAGTGAATGCATGCTAGTCCCACTAATGCCCAAAAACACCTCCATATCCTGGTATGTAACATGCCGATCCATCTCAATAATTTCTCGCACTATACCAATGTTTTCTGACTCAACAGCCGTAACGAACATTATGTCCGCATGTTATTTACAACAATTCCGGGACATTTTGCAGTGCAGAAAAGGATACCAAGAAATAATATTTGTATTTTGACGAAATGGCAAAAATTCTGCCCAAAATATGCACAAATGTAAATAAGCTAATATAAACTTGATTAGATATATTATTAATATTAAAGGAATTTTTGAGTCTCAAAAACGCGATAAGTTTACATAAACCTGTTCAGATGTTCATATATGTATTTATGTATAAACGTAGATTAATATGTAATCATTCGGCATAAAATTATTCTTGAAAAATAATATGTATTTAACATTCGAAAGGCTTTCACTAACTTCTGTATTTACATATACAAGAAGATCATTGTACCAAGACAGAAATCAAATACATTTCTATTAAATAAATTCTAATATTTAGAAATTTATACGTACTTATACAAATTAAGACAAATGTTATTATTTTTTTTTTTTTTGAATGAGTTCTAGATATAAAAGCTTAATATAGTCACATTAAGCACTAAACCTTTTATTCATATAATTTGAAGATATGCAGCACCCCCCTCTCCCTGTATTTCGAATAAAACATACAACTAAGCATTGCCACAAAATATATATGACACCGGTTGATGTCACGTTGTGGGAAGTAATTTATCTTTGAAATATGTCGGTCGTTAGATCTTCTCCCTTTATATCAAACTTCCTCTCGTTTGATTTGATATTGTAGTTAATGTAGGATAGATGTCTGCTACAGAATTGGCTGTTTCAGGATTTAATACATGATCTGTATGTTCAAATTTTACTTCTACATTTATGGTATGTGTACTTTTTGATTTTTCCTAATTTTTATTTTTACTGCAAAAATAACAATGAAGGCAAGGATTGTTATTACTGCCTTCATTGACAAAATGAAGAAAAAAATATTTGCATATTATTAACAAAGACATTGTTTCCAATTTATATCCACACAAAATTTTTTATTTATTATTGGAGACCAATGTGAGTTAGCACAGTGATAGAAATTTTGAAATATCTAATTTTCTTCAATAAGTCCAGTCATTTGGTATTCTACAATTGTCAGCATTATTCGTGAATATACAGTCCATGTAGAACCTAAGCCTGTTTAACAACAGTCTTCCATTCTTCTCTGTTTTTGTTGCTTTTGTTTTCCAATTTCTTATGTTCATTTCTTCTAAGTCCTGCTGCACACAGTCTTTCCACCGTTTTTTTGGTCTCCCTCTTCTTCTGCTGGTTCCTACTTCGTTCTCATAAATCTTAAGCGGTACTCTCATATCCGGCATTCTTATCACTTGTCCAACCCATCTTAATCGCTGGTTTTTCATAAATTTGTTGATTGTATCATCTTCAACTAGCCGTCCAATCTCTTTTATCAGCGTAATACAGATTTAAATAAGGCAATGCAGATATAGCGTTCCAATTTAAAAGTGTGTTATATGATCCTATAATAATGTCAGCATCAGTAATGATTATGTTTGTAATAACGTTTAGTATTTCAAAATATTTTGGATTGCCTCTGCAGGTTGTGTAAATTTAAAAATTTATTTCTACGCTTTTATGCCTAGAACTAAATTTTCTCATTTTCCTGAAAATTCCTTTTGACGTAGTAGATCGCCCGGTATTTTGTCTAAATCAGATATATTGTTAAAATGTTTAGACAAAATTACTCAAAAATATATAGATTAAATAAGTTTTGTAAATAAACAAATTTATATGCACTTACATATACATATGTATATGGGTCGAATTTGTAAATGTACAGTATTATAAAAATATTAAACTTTCATTACTTTTGCAATGAATGACCAACCATAGTGAGGCGGTTCTCTAATATCGAAATTTCCAGAACGGAATCCAGTAAACCAGACTTGTGCACAGCGTTCACTGTAAACCCATTGTCTTTGCAATGGTTTTACAATTTTTATAGTAATAAAGCATCACGTAGTGTATTTCTTCACATATTTCACACTTGTTCAAAAAATGTAGCGGGGAAATGTCTCTTTTCAAATTTGTGATCGTTTGACACAATCGGATTAGTGTTGTAAAATATATGGGTACCAACATTATCTAGTGCCAAAAAAGCTTCGCTAGTTTTTATAGTAAAATAAAAACTATGCAATAAAAACAGATAAAAAAATGAATACTAAAAAAATAAAAAAAAACACATTTATAAATCATAGGTTCGGGTCACATTTTTAAAAATAATATAAAAATGTTAAAAATTTAAATTTCTCAATTTTTAGGAAAATTTCACAATTCTTGTGCCGCCGCAACACTTCAAAAATAATCAACTACCAATGCAATTCAAGAGCAATGCAATTAATTAATTAAGCAATTAAAATACTACTGGCACAGCAAACCAAATGTTTCAACAGGTTTAATGAATAAAAAAAATGAAGCAACAAACATAGAGGCTACTCACGATCTGGTTACGTCCCAGAGCCACTCGTTGAGCTCAACCACAAAATGCCGCGTTCATCACTCCCAAAAAGGACTAGAAAGAATAGCAATGGTATAAATAATTTGCTTACATTTGCATCGCGTCAATCAGCTGTTCATATGAACTCAGTATAACCACTTGATTGTAAATAAAAATAATGCCAAAACAAAAAAAAAAGAATATTACTTTGAAGAATGAAACATTAAACGTAATATTATAGAAAGATTCCCAAAAATGATAATAATTTGGCAGATTTATCATTCACAGCAAATTGTAAGTCTGGCTTGAATCAGTTTCTTCAACTTGCATAGTCAGCTGTTTACACACTGCATCATGTCTGCCGTTTGCTGCGTTCGCCAGTTTTTGTGAGTATATTTATAGACTGACTGGTAAGTATCAAATAAAAAGCTGGCAAACAATATATAACGTTTCGTCAAATACGGTTCAAATCATGGTTTTCTCAAATACTGGTAATTTTATCAAAACATAAATGGCATCCCTACCCTCACCCACACCTCCTCTTTGCTGATTATTTAATTTTTTTCATTCCACATAATTCAATACATTTTAGAAATTCGATTATATTATTAATTAATGATTTGTCAACAATTAATGTGATATCGTAGAACTGAAAATTTTTTCTTTTTTTAACTTTGTTTGTTATGAAGTTGGCAACCATTGTGCCGAATAGTATCAACAAAAACAACAACAAATACCACAGACTCGTGTACTAAAACTTCTTATTCATAACGATTAAGCTTGCTGCGCAAAACCGCTTTTATATGCACAACTGTAAGATTTGCTGTTCTTCACCTCTGCATTCAAGTCAAAAAATAAAGCACAATTAATGCTAAATAAATAAAATTTCGCGATACACAAAACACAAACAAGAAAAACAGTCAAATACAAAAACAAAGCTTTCAAGCTTAGCGCGGTAAAGCAAAACGCACTCAATATAAAAATACCGCACAAACACCGAATTATCGTAACAACAAAACAAAATCAATGAAGAAGCAGCATCGAACATGAAGGAAGGAACCGACCGTGCAAAAATATGCACAACAAGTGAGCTTCAATTTCCTATAAGTAAAAGAAGCAAAACTATACTGCACAATTTATAACACGAAGTTTGTGTGATGTCGAAAAACCACTTCGTCTCCCACAAAATTTCAAATAAACAGAAAATGCATGAAATCATGCATTTGTTTAAAAAAAATTACGAAGTACATAAATAAACATGTACCAAAATTATTCAAATACTTTTAAGATATTAACATAAACATTTTCTTATTGTTATTATAATCATAACAAAATAAGCATTCAAAAGTAAAAAAGGAATGTTCGAGAAAATTCCAAATTTAGAACATGAGCGCTTCAAACAAAACTTTGCGTTGAAGACAAAAAATACATACATATATGCACTAAAAAAATGGTTCAATTTCGTACCGAACATGTACACATATAAATATCCAAAGCGGCAAAGAAAAAAAAAACTGGTGAAGACAAGAGACATTAGGAATATCAAAGAACCTGCTGCAAGAATTAAACAACTTCTGCGGGGTAAAGCAGATGAGAAAACATGAGAAACACCGTTACCGGCAAAAAACGAAGCACATAACATCAAACACGAAGTAAATCCACATGCACACCGCGCCAAAACCGATAGCATCAAATAGACAAAAAAAAAAACAAAAAAAACAATGCTTCTAATATATTCTGTTGTGTGTAGCGCTTCACATTTAAACATTTAAATGTTTAAGTGATATGGCGGGTATTTGTCATAGTTTCTCGAATGAAATTCATAATATTCACATTTCTTTGCTACGAAATATTATAATACACTCAACATTTTTTTATTTTATAAATGAATATATTTTACTTCTGAGTTATTAAATTATTTTTAATTATTTGTTACTCACTTCTTGTCAGCTGCGTCAGCCATATTTTCTACACAAATTTCAACTTAGATGTCAATATAAACAAAAACCCAATTTAAATTTGTATTTTATATATTTAATAAAACACAAATGAAGCGCAAACTGCAGTTTATTTCTGTATCAAGCACCGAAAATTGTACCGCGCACGTAAAGGACACAACGACACGTCTTAACAGCTTAAACTTTTAAAACCGAATGAGGAAGATTTTTTACAAGTCGCTGAGGATTTAAACAAATTTCATATTTTAATCGTTTCAAATCAACTGACACACACATGGTTGTATTTTTGTTAATTATAAAGCGTTATACTTTTGCATTAAATGTCACTTAACAGTGAACACGAAACTAATTATTTGGCATAAAAGTTATCAGGACTTGCAATTGGTATAAAAAATAATAAATTTTTGTTAATATATTTGTATTACTACATCATATATTGTATTATATTATTTTTTTGCATCATTTCAGTAGTATAATATTTAACTTTTAAATTGCGTATAATATTAATATTCATTATTCGATCGATTACTTAATGTAAGTAATCCGACTGTCCTCAAAATGGCTGGTTACTAATATAAATTATTAGTATTTTTTAATATTCAAATTGTGTTTTTAATTATCGCCCGCTTTGTTTATTAAAACTTAAAATACAATTCTTAGTCCTCCTAGTCAGTTTTTACTTTTAAATATATATATATATAGATATATATATATATAACAATCCTGTATGACAATAAGCTTTTGATTAAATTAAAATATTTACAAACTAATTATAGTTTTTAAAAAATATTAATTATTTTCTTATGTAGTGTATGGTTGTTTTAAACACATTTTTTTTTTTTTGAAAATTACATATTATTTATTGTGTTGACTAAACTGATACAATCATAAATAATTAAGATATATGTTAAATAGATTTAGAAAATAATAAATATGAAAGCAACCAAAGTTTATTAAAAAGAAAGTTATTTAATAGCATAAATTGATTTTTATGAAATTATTTGTTTTTGTCTCATTTTACACATCTAGACGCATTCCAGATCGTCGACCACCAAATAAATTTATAGATGATTATTGAACTGTTTTGGAAATTATAAATGGAGGTTATAAAAACTACATATGTATATGCTCGTATATGCTTTTAAAATAATTATTGCAATAAACACCATATTGCAATTGTTTTATAAAAATCTTTGCAAGTGCAAACATATCGCAATTGTTGGTCTCCATTTGGTGTAATCCTGTGTTTACACTAAGGAAATTAAATTATTAAACATCATAGCAAAATAAAAAATAAAAAACAAAAAGAAAATATAAGTTATATGGAACTTTAAGATATGAAAAAAATGATTTAAATATATTAGGATATTATAAATTATATTAATTATTTTGAATAAACATAAATTTAAATCAATTAAGTAAATAATATTTATTTTTGACTTAATATTTCATTTTCAAAAATTTATTGTTTCTTTTGATTTCAAATTTGCTTTTTATCATATTGGATTGTTTTGAAATGTTTATTTTCCTAATTTTAGAGAATAATTAAATAATCGTTTTCAAGCGACTATCTCGGTCATATGAAAAGTGTAGAACACTAAACGAATTAATTGCGAATTTATGTTAATCAAGAACTAAAATTTTAGTACTGAACCTTAGCGTAGAATAAAAATTTAAAATTGTTTACGTAATTAAAATTATCATCTAAAAAAATATTTATTTCCGAATGAAATTAAATATTTATATAAAAATATAAATAAAATCATAAAAAAATGTGAGCAGTTTATAAAATATAGTGTTCATTTAATACCATTGAAACGTATGTATTTATTAAATATTTTAAACTATTACTAAATAAATATTTAGCAATTTTTGTGTTTGAAATAAAATGGGCTTGATTTAACAACAGACAAACTAAGTTTTAGGTAAGCAGATAGGTCTACCATTTGGTTCAGTTATGAACTATAACCATAGCAATTCTGAATGCTCCTAGGGAACCAGTCTCCATATTCCCACGTTATTCCCATGAACACAACTCCCTTATTCTGAATTGCTTGGGAGACAGCTGTTTTGGGAATAACAAAAGTTTCAAACTTGTTTTGTTAAACATTAATAACCATGGCACTTTTTAATGACGAAAAGTGCTAAAATGAGCAAAACAAATGATTTAAATATAAAAATCGCATTATTTGTCTGCTGCACAAACGATCAAAAATATATATAATGAATACTTTATAAGTAAATAACATAAAATTTTTATTTTATTTATTTACTTTATTATTTAAATATGTATATAATAAATTATTTTCTTGTATACAATAAAACAAAGTAAAACATCTTATTTATTAATTTAAATCATTAATGCTTTAACTCAAATTTGAGCTCCTCTCCAAAACTCGTATTTCTTTTTATAATTAGGATAGAAACGTTCTTAAATTCATAAACTGTTTATGAATGTGCAGATGTTACAATAAAAATAAGCAATGTTTTACCTGCGCATAATTGCAAAAGTTTATTTAAACTTATTCTAGGAATCCTATTCGTTTCAGGATTTGGGTTTCTTTCATTATCTATTATTTTAAATAACAATAGTTAATGCTTTAATATGTGGAAAAACCCTAGTGGATAAAATCTTTAAATAAAAATTTAAATATATTAAATTTGTTATAATGCTTTTATTAAAATAATAATTTTAATAAAATATATTAATTAAAAATTTAGTTATATTAAATTTAGTTATATAAAATTTATTAAAATATATTCGAAAAACTAATCAACCCTTGTGCATAAAATAAAACGTTGAAAATATTAAATTTATTATAATAATTTTATTATAATAATAATTTTATTAAAATATATTCAAAAATCTGATCATTATAAGTTACTTTCATATTAAATTAAACTATTTTTAATACTTTTTTAACTTGTGTCCCAAACAATTTGCTTGGGAAAGATTTTGTGCAAAATTGGGAAAAAGCTCCCATTCACATACGATTCAGAATAGCAAAATTGGGAAAAGGGAAAAAACTTCCATTCCCATGCGATTCAGAACAGGCACATTTATGTTTCATTTTTAACTAAATAATTATAAAAACATAACACAATAACCTCAAACAATGTTACTATTATAAAACTTATAAATAAATAATGTTAATTAAAGCAATAATAAAAACAATAATTAGCCATATCAAAGTTATATACATATATATTACAGTCTTTAACATATTTCATACATGAAGTTAATTCATTTATGCTTAATATAATACTGACAATGTACAATACTTAAATTGTTTAATTTATCTAAAATATTTGAATATATACAAATAATGATATTAATTAGAACTAATTATTATAATTATAATTATAATCATTATTATAATTCATGTTTGATGTAAGTCAAATGTCAATTTATCAAAACAATCTCATCGAATACTTTTTTCAATACAAATTGCAACACTTAACTTAAAATATGGAATTGAAACGCTCTGAGAAAATATCATGTAAAGAGAGAGCCAAATTATATGATTTCAAACATTATAGAAAAAAAAGCCGAGTGCATAAACACACATATATTTGTGTGTTTGTATATTGGCAGAAGCGTCGTTCTAGCTCTACGTATGAAAGCAAATTTAACGAACTTTTTCTAAACTAAGATTTGAAAACTATATAACAAAATCTATTATTATTTATTTAAACAAAATGTTATATTTGCTAAATATGTATTTCACAACCACAGTTCCGGAACATTTTACGTTTCCGGAGCAGTGCAGAAAAGGATACCAAAAAATAATATTTGTAAGTATGTATACGATTTGTAATAACGCGTGCTGCATCAAAATAAACTACGCACTCTAAGGATGTTACCACTTTTTATACATAAGTACATACATATATACATTTATCTTTATATCAAGTAAATAAGTCTCTTTTTTACATCGAACTTTGTACAGTACATACATATGTAGAATAATTTGTCAATACAAAATATGTTGTTGCCGAAATGGCAAAAATTCTTCCCAAAATATGTATAAATGTAAATCTGTTAATATAAACTTAATTGGATATATTATTAATATTAAAGGAATTTGCTAACATCTCAAGAACGTGGGAAGATTATTGAAATCTTCAAAAATTTCATGTTTATTTATTTTTAAACGTAAGTTAATTTGTAATTATGGAGCATAGATTTATTCTGGAAGAGTACATGTACATATAAACTTTCAAAATGCTTTTACTAAATTTAGTATTTACATATGTACATATGTATAGAAGGAGATCATTGTACCAAGAAGAAAAACTAATTACATACATACATATGTACATATCTATTAAAAAGTCTTATATTTGGAATTTAATGCGTACTTGTACATTTGTATGTAAACATATATATATATGTGCAATAACGTGTGAATACAAAAGGGAGCTTTAGATATGTATATTTGAGCGCTTCTTGCTTTTATAATAATTATAAGCCTACATTAGAAAGCATTGTGGGCTTTTTGTGCTGATGGCGTGAACGTAAGCGGAGAGGTGCACGAACGCACGCATTGAGAAGTATAAAATTTTCTTAACGAAATAAATATTAAACAAAACTTTAGAGTTTGTTGCTTTTTTTCGCAGTTTACAACACATATTAACTAAAGTACAAACATAATGTAATAAAAACAAATTAAGCGACTGTTATATGTTAATTGTGCGCCATAAACACACGTGTACAGTACAAAAAAAAGTGCAAATGTTTTATTTTTTTTCACCTCAACTATTGCAAACACGTAAAATGCATAAATACGTGAAATAAAACAAAAAAATTTGGAAATATATTGACAAAAATAAAATGAATAAATTTTGCAAATAAACAAATACATATGCACATACTTACACATATGTATATGGGTCGGATTTGTAAATGTACAGTATTATAAAAATATTAAACATTCATAAATTCTTTTAATTAAAGAATTATAACTGGAATTATTATAAAGTTCTTAAAGCAATATTATGAAATTAACTAAATATAATTAAAAATAGAAAATATGAAATAATTTACAAAAATATTTTATTTATTGCATTTATATATACATACATTTGTATACATATGTATACATATTAATACCAGTGATTCACAAATTATATATATTTGTGTATGTTTCTTTAATATTATTTGAACAATTTTTATTATTTTATTATTTATTTTATTA